AGATTTCTCTCCAGATCTATGATTCCACGTCCGTTCTAAGGGATTTGAAGTAAGTTTTTCTAAGTTTGAAGTTAGATTTACCGTTCGTTTCACTTCTGTTTCTCTTTCTCATAGAAGTTCATGGTGTTCTTAGGAGAGACTTTGTTCTAAAGCCAAATCTTTGGTGAATCTTGCATTAAAACATGTAATATTTGGTAGATCTGGTGTGAATCACTGTTCTAAGGTAAAGGGAGCTTACTTTAGCCAATGAACTATGTTTTGAATTGTTTGATATGTTATTAAAGAAAGATTTGAGTTAGTTTTGTTAGATCTCTTTGATAAAACCTAAGATTTAAAGGATTTAATACTTGAAAGTTGGTTTTCTATGTTGTAACTACTGATAACTGATTTAATAACACTGAGATTTGGCTAATTTATTATAAACTTGTCTTAGTTAAGCTGTTGAAATGAATTTAGCTGTGATGCATCATGTTGAGATATATGTCTTGCATCATTATAGAGCCTAGTTACATGTTTAGGTGGGTAGACGTGTAATGATAAAGCATATTGAGTTGTTCTGTGCAGTGCTCTCTGGATCCAGATACCGGAATGGGTGGCTTCCGGACTGGCTCAGTTCCTTCTGGATTACTTAGACTGTGAAATCAATTGGAAATCGTTTTCATGCTATGCATTAGATGGTCTGGAAATGCATGGGGCTGTTGTTGTGAGTAATATTTTGCTTTATATATATATGATTTTATTTTATTTTTGTAAGCTCACCCTTGCATTTCTATCTATGTTGTTGTGTGTATGTGTATTGCGATGATCGTACGGTGATATGTGAGCAGATGTAGTAGGTGTTGCATCTACTTCACAGGCTGAGGGGCCAGTGGAGAAATGTTAGAAGCTGAAGTCGAGTAATTTTGTATTAAAGTCTTTTTTTCTTATATTTTGAGGCCTCATATAGAAGGAGCTATGTAGTATAATTTTGTGTATTTTGAATATTATGGACTAAATGTAATATTATTTTGTTCTATTGGATATTTGTTGTGAGAAACTTTGTTTTATTTTGAATGAGAAGTGAATTTTATACTTATATTCTCCATTATTTATCTATCTTAAATAAGTAAGTGGTGTAGAAATAATGTTCTCAGTTCCTTATAAAAAGGGGTCGTTACAGCTCCAGATAAGTCTGCCCCTCCCTGAAATTGTGGCATGTCCCCAGGCCACTGTTGATAAGCTACAAACTTCTCTTAAGCTCATCCATATATATTGGCCTAGTTATTACAGCTGAGCCTGATGGTGGTAAGCATTCTGCTGATGCATCTAACCCCTATGGATAGGAGAATTTTGAAGAGCCAAATGATATAGGCAGAGCTCGAGACGATGGAGGTGGTCTGCAAAGGTGGAGTCATCCTGTTTGTTGGGCGCTTCTTACACTGGTGGCTCCTCAGACTGAGGCTATGAAGATGGTGGAGCTCCTGGCTGATCTTCCATGCAGTGATTCTGAATATAAGCCAGAGTGATAGGGAGCTTGATAGGCTCACTATATTGAATACCTCGAACTCTGTGCTCCTGAAAAAGTGTTGTGATCAAAGCTGGGTACCCAAGTAAGCCACTCTCTCCTTTCTTGATCACAAACATGTAAATCTCATATGTGATAATGTGAGCCACATCCACAGATCATCCCCTCAAAATGTTGTACAAGAGGTAGTGTGGCCTCTGGGAATATGTTGTGGCAAATAAAAGTGGTCCACACTTGAGCTAAAGTGGTCATGTTCTTCTTGTAAATTCTCAAAGCCTTTCCTTCAGGATTTATGGTGTAACTCCTATTTGCTATGCATAAAGCTTGAGCAGTGACATAATCACTGAAGGGTTGAGTACATGAATTGAGCTTGGTGTGGAAATAGTCTTTCTCATTCTCCTCCAGTTGCAACAGATTCCCCATATAACAGTTGATTGCATCTCTAGAGTAGTCAACCCACACTCCTCTCACTTTGGACCTTGTATCCAACCTTCTTGAGTTGAACTCTGGTTTGGCATTAGCATAAAATTCTTTTAACAATTTCCAGATCATAATACCCTCTTGGTTCTACCAACTTTCTCCATCTTCGCCTCTCAATCTCGTTATTAAACTCATCAAATTCTCCTTCCTTCAAGTCTACCCTCCTTTCCTTAATGATTAACCAATCTTAGATTTCCTTAAATATGTCCTCTTTGTCCTTGTCCTTAAATTTCCTTGGATCGGATGGTGGTTGCTGTGAAGATGAAGCATCTTTCTGTTTCTTTGGTGCAGGAACTCGGTCTTTATTAGGGATGGAAACAGGTAGGCCGCCTAATAGGGGCCTGCAGCCTGGCCTAACCTTTTTAATAAACAAACAAGACTTAGGCTTTTTTTAAGGTCCGTTTAAGTTAACAAGGCAAGCCTAACCTATTTTTAAAGTTTGTTAAGTCTGACAGGTTGGCCTATATATATATATATATATATATATAATTTAAAAATACAGCTGTTAAAACATGTTTAAATAATAAAGTTATTTAATAATATATTTTTAATTTTTTATATTAAATTAATATATTATATTATAAATTTTTATTTATAATTATAATAAATAAAAATTATCTTCTATTAAGAATTAAAAATATTTTTATACACGATTACACTTTTTAAATAATAAATTTATTTAATAATAAATTATCATATTTGTTACATTTAAATAAGTTAAAGAGTGATTAAATCTTTGAACAGAAAGAAGAAGTAATCAAAACTGAACAAAATAAAATTAAAAAATGAGATAATAATATTATGTTAATATATTTTTTATATTCTTAATTTTATTATTATTTATATTTAATTATTATATTAATATATTATGTTTAATTATTTTTTTATAATAAATAAAAATTCTTTAAATATAAATTATATTTTATTTAAAATTAAAATTTTATAAAAAAATGATAGAAAAATAAAATAAAATAAAAATTTTCATATACAATATATATATATATATATATATATATATATAATAGGACCATATAGTAAATAATATAAATAATATAATTTTAAATAAATTATATATAATAATATATACTTTTGTAACTTAATATGTATTTTATTTTTGTTAGTATAAATTTTTTGAGTAAAGTACATATAATAAAATTTTACATACCAAATACACAGCGTACAGCAACATACCTAAATATAAATATGTCAAATTTTGAATAATTATTTTTCACAAATTTAACATAGATATAAATAGATTTTTTCTTAAGAAATATAGTTGCTAATATACATTCAAAATTCAATAATTAATAAATATTTACAAAAAAAAGTATAAATAAAAAATTAAATTATTAATTAATTTATCAATTTATAATATATATATATATATATATATATGTTATAGTGTAGTTAATTTTACGTATATTTGTTAATTTAAAATAAAATTTAATAAAATAAATAAAATTAAATATTTTATAACTATTTTTTTAATTTAATAGTTATTATTATTGTCATTATATATATATTAAGTTTTTTTATTAAGATAAAAGTTTAGAAATATACGTTATTTTAATTTAAATATAAATTTTATTAATTCTGACTATGCTTATATGTTATTTTTCTGCATCCTTAAATTTTATAATATAAATATTTTTTACCTATAATTTTTACAATGACTATTTATTTATTTTTTAAAATATAATAATTTTTTTAGCTGATTTAACAAATTTTGTGAATATTATTTTTTGTTATCAATTTTATGTGTTTACTATTATTTTATTTATTAAATATAAGATATCTTTACACAAACAAAATATAATTATCATAAAAAATAATTACAATATTTAATACTTTAATAAATTTATTAACATACATTTGAAATTCAATTCTTAGTAAATATTTACATAAATAAAAATTTAAATTATTAGATAATTTATCAATTTATATTTTATATATAATTATATATTTTAATTTATTGTATCAGTAATATTTTTTGATATTATATGAATGTTATAATGTTGTTAATTTTACATGTATTTGTTAATTTAAAATAATAAATTAATAAAATAAATAAAATTAAATATTTGGTAATTATTTTATTTTTTTAATTTAATAGTTATTATTATTTTCATTATATATATATTACATTGAATTTAATTTTTTTTTTAAAGATAATAACTTTCTTTCAGCTGATTCAACAAATTATGTGAATATTATTTTTTGTGATCAATTTTATGTGTTTACTATGACTTTATTTATTAAATATAAGATGTCTGTAAACAAATAAAATATGATCCTAAAAAAAACTAAAATCTTTAATAATTTAATAATTTTAAAAATAAATAAAAAATAAAAATTTATTTAATGTGAAAGATTTATAATTAGTGCTCAAATAATATTTTAAAAATTATTTATAAAATTATATAAAATTATTACAATTATTTAATAATTATCAATAACAGAGATGAAAAGTAGAAAAATATATAAACTAATTTGATAATAAAATATTTATATTTTCATTAATATTAAGGTATTTTTTTGTAACAAGCTTCAGGTCAGGTCAAGCCACCTAAACAGGCCTGGTCAGGTTGAAAATAAAGCCTTTAACAGGTAATAGGCTAAACTCAAACCTAATAATTATATTATAGGTCAGGCCTGTTTAAGGTAAAGCTTAGCCTTGCCTGGCCTGTTTATATCCCTAGTCCTTATGAGTTCTAACCTTAATTCTCCTGAAACATCAAGATAACAGCCACACAATTCAATACAATTATCATAGCATAGTCAAATACATGTGAATAACAATTCTATTGTTAGCAAATTTACTCAATAATCCAATCTCAAAATTAAATAACATGCTTCAATTAAAGCATCTCAATCTGCAATAAATTGTACACATTCAGCTACACAATAGACAAAGAAACTCTAATTCACAATGTTATGACCACTTTCATTGCAACATGAACACCACAATTCAAGTTCTAATTTCTAAAATACATGGTAAATAAAAAATCTCATTGCTAGAAGTCCTTTTAATTCAAAATCTGTCCCTTTTTAAGTAGCAATTCATATTTTAGGGTTCACAGAATCAAGAAAATTAGAGAAATTCATACCTAAGGATCTGCTACTCTTAATTATCAACAAGACTCTAACAATATTCATTCTAAATGACCCTATCCTGCATTTCAAACTATAATTTTCAAATTAACCCTCCTGTGAAAAAATGTTATTGTTATATCCCAAAACACCACAACCTTCAATTCCCCTGTGATTTCAGTATCATATTCTAACCCTACCTATCATTGTTCCCTAGTTTTGGTCCTAGGGTTTGAGAAACACACATTACAACAACAAAACATACTAAGTCATCATATTTACAATCCGATTTTCACAGTTCAAACATTAATTTCTATGAATTATATAATGAAAGATCTAGATTTTGGGAGAACGAGAGAAAACAACTAAAATAACAAGGAAGGAAGTAAACAAACACTTATCCTTGACTCATTATGTAGATTCTTAAGTGAGTGAGGGTGAAAAGTGGCTAGTTTCTGGTGGAAAACAGAGTTTGAGAGCAATGGGGGGAAGAGAGCGCATTTTATAAATGAAAAATGGCCATCTTCTCTGCAATTTAAAAAGTTAAGTCACGAGCTGCTACAGCAACACTCTCGCTGCAGCGAAAAAGCGACAGAATGTCCCTTTTTTTCTTAGGGTCCTCTCGCTACAGCAAGAATACAACAGTTTCACTAGTTTTTCAGAGTGCTCTCTCGTTGTAGCAAAAATATCAAAAGATTCCTCTTTTATATTTTTTTATTTTATTTTATTTTGGTTTGTTAGTTTATCCTAATTTAAATTTTTAATTTGTTGCAAAATGGAAAATTTTGTTATAAAATGATAAATTTGTTATAAGCAACGGATTGATGAATTTTATTAAAACTAAATTAATTTAATATTTAGAAGAGAGATTTTATTTCTATTATTTTTAGTTGTATTTTACTTAGTATTTTAATTATTGCAATCTTTATTTTTGTCATTTTAAAATATTGTATATATTTTTATGGATCCTATTTAAAAATATTATTCTCATTTCGCATACAAATCTTTTTTATTCAAATGGACAAAATTGAGTATTCATAGTTTCACACATAGAATTTGGCTTCCTTAAACCAAAGATAAGAAGATGCATTTTTTTTTACCAATAACAAGTCTTTCATTTTGCCTTTCCAACTAATAGTTTGCTCCATTCAAAGAAATCATTTTTCCTTGTATCTCCATCATCCAAGTAAGTCAAGAAACCACGACCACTTAACTAAAGTGTTTTTTTGATGTCATTCTGATCGGGGAATGTCAACACAAACACAATAGACAATGAAAAAATATTCCTTCAAACTTGTAAAAGTCAATAAGAAAAACCAATGAAAATAAAGCAAAAACATAACCATAAAACAGCACAAGACAAATAATTGTTACGTGAAAAATCTTTCAAAGTAAGGATAAAACAAACAATTCATCCAGACCATAAATAATTCACTATGATAAAAAAAAAAAAAAAAGATACAAGAACGTCTCTAATGAGTGCACAAATCGTGCTTACAAACAATCAAAGCAAACAAAACATCAATGCTCACAAACAAAATATAAGATGAAAAAACTCGATTACAAAATATAAAATTGTGATATTTATTTTTTACTCTCTAGAATTTTTCTCAATAATCCAACCAAACAAAATGAAGATTTACGTACGAACTTACTATCCAAAAATCAGTTTGATTCCATGGTAAACAAGTCCATAATTTCAATTTGAAAAATGACAGTATAATGGTGCGCGAAAATGATAATGAGTTTTCTTTTCTCACAATGTTTTTGCTATAACAAGTTTCTCTTTTTTCATACTCTATCAAGTTCCTCTCCACTAGTTTTAGTGAGATATAATGAGTCAATGTATTTTAACTTTTCTCCTTGTAAGAAAAAATTCAAAAAACAAGTGTACTTGGGTACCCAAATAAACATTAACTATATATAGTTGCATATTTGACCATAAGTTAAATTTCTTCATGTGATAAATTATGGCATTTCCAGATAAAGGCCCAAATGTTGCAGCAGCCTTTCATCTCAACATACTACGTTGTCTATCTATTTGAAGCTAGTTTTGATAATAAATGAGATGATATAGTTAGCCCTTCAAGCCTCCACCCGTGGTAAGAAAAAATATAGCTTTGTTATGTGCATATTTACCCTCGAATGGCTTTGCAGGCAATAGTCGTCATCCTACGTCTACCGTCCTTTAGTTAGCAGAATAGACGTAAATATTAACAAAAATGCAGGTAGTATATTTTTCAAACATTTGTTGTATATATTTTATTATTGAATAAAATTTGTGATGGATAAAACATGAGCTTAAATTATATATAACCGTTCTATATACGAACGTTCACCCAAAAAGAAAAATAAAATGGCAATATTTCCCAATATGTACAGGAGAAAATTAGGAAAGAGACGCCCCACTTGTCCACGGGATTCGTGCATTCAATATACATTCATACACACACACAAAAAAAAAATTAAAAAAATAGTCAGCTAGAATGAGTATAATATACATTTTACTAAATAAAGTTTTGTTTTCTGAATAATTTTTCTGGGGGTCGTTCTGGTCTTTATTTCGATAAGTGTTCGCCAACTACCATTATCCGCGGAATTCCATTGCTATGCCATACAGACAGAAGCGCGGAAATCAACCAGGTGAAATACGTTTTCATCAATTTAATTTTACATTAATACTCATTTAAGTTACAACTGCCAGAAGCAATTTGCTGCTATCTTCTTTTGTTGACTGAATGCAATCCACCATCAACTATTGACAAACCCACAGAATGAAAAACAGAATCACAATTCAAGCGTTGAAAAATTTTGCTGGCATCCATGACCAAATTAAAGCTCCTATCAGTTCCAGTTTTCTCTTCCATTTGCATTCTGCTCTCTACTATCAGAGAATGAACCCTGGCCAACATAGCTTGATCTCTTCTTTCTGTGAGTATTCCAGGAAACTATATGCTCGTCCATACCACTTACTCTGACGTCCTCGTTTTCATGCTTCTGGGAATTTATTTCTTCAGACTTGAGTCTCTTAGAGGCAGGAGTCACATTGAATGTATCTTCACTTGATCTCTCATTTTCCATGCAGACACTCGCATTCCTCAACTCTAAGAACCTTTCTTCAGTCCTCATGTCACCACTAGCTTGTGCGTGGTTGTCAACAGGGAGGTGGTCTCTTCTTTTCCCTTTTACTGAAAACCTAGATACATCCTGCCCGTTTTCCACAGCCTTCATCCATTGTAGATCACTAAGCGTATCTGCATATACCACTTCTTTTCTTTTCCGCTTTCCAGTAACACTACCACTGTCAAAAGCTTTGACCTTATCATCCTTATTTAGAGGAGAGTATACCCAATCTGGCAGTTCATGCTCTTCCATGAGCCGAGACCTGTAATTCTCCTTTTGCCTTCTCTCTTCATCCATTTTCTCAAACAGCCAAAATTCCTCATCAGATCGGGCTGCAAGACGGTTAATTTCTCTCTCACTTGGCACATCTGTACCAAGTGAGCTAGTACCTCTACGCATGATCTCCTCCAACATTTCTCTTCTGTCTTGTGCTGCAATAAATAAAAATATCACATGTTCAAATAGTTAACTTTTAGCAAATCATAGGAAGCACAATACAGGAGACAGACATATGGCACAGGTATGTTCTAGGTTAAACATGACATATTTTCTTGTGTGGCTTAATGAATCTTAATTCTTAATCTCCAAGTAATATTCAAAATCAGAAGAGTAAAATACAATTAGGTATGCAAAATTTATCTTAACTTACTATTCTAATATTGCTCAAATGTTCTCAACCTTCCAAAAAAATGCTCAAATGAGAAGATATTAAGCTAAGATGAGAATACAGGTAAACTTTCCAATTAGAAGGCTGCATGTTATGCCTGTAGGGATGTAACTTTCATATTGATGTGCATCGGATGCAGTTCACAAATAATAAAGCATAAGAAGATTAAGTGCATATAAACTTGCTGAATCCATGACGAGCCTATGTCAAGAATCAAATAATACACAAGATACCACTTCTGTAATTTGTTGTAGCTCTAGCAGCAGCTTGGCATATGGTACATTTTACAGTTTGGGAAGATCATACATACAGTAAGAAGCAGTTTGCAAGCATAATGCTTGCTCTGAAGTCTGAAATGAAATTTTGAACAAAAGAAACATCCTTTCTAACAGTACGCAAAGAAATGCTTTTACAATTCATCAAAAAATAGCTACTGATAGCACAAGTTTCAAAGAACAAACCTGTTGAAGTAGTGTTAAAAAGCCCTGCCTGGATGACTTTGGCATCAATGCCCATCTTTTGTTTAGCACGCTCTAAAATCACCTCTTCGATTGATCCCACACTAACTAAGACAAAAACTCTAACTTCCTTTTTTTGTCCAATTCGATGGGCTCGATCCTCAGCTTGTTGATCCATCTGTGGGTTCCAATCACTGTCAAAGATTATAACAGTATCTGCTGTCTGTAAGTTCAAACCAAGACCTCCTGCACGGGTGCTCAAGAGAAACATGAAGTATGGAGAATCAGGTGCATTGAATTTCCGTAGTAGGGAGCCTCTTTCCTCGGTCTTTGTTGAGCCATCAAGTCTAAGAAATTTAAAATCATGAAGTCGCAGATAAATTTCGAGAATGTCCATAAGACGAGTCATTTGTGAAAAAAGAAGGACCCTGTGACCAGCTCTACGAAGTTTGGGAAGCAAACGGTCAAGAAGTTCAAACTTTCCTGATGCTCTGACAATCTCCTCCTTGTGTTTATAGATATCATAGTCTCCCACAAAGAGGTAGGGATGGTTACAACACTTTCTGAGTTGCATTGTCAAGTTCTGTAGACTTCTTGATTTTCCAGAACCTACGGATTGTTCTCTATTTAGTAAAATGTTTATAATACAAGTTCCCAAGAAATCAGTTAAGCATAGAAGAATGTAGAAAGCAAAAACCAAATAATGATATAGGGTTATTTTTTAATAAAAGGAAAACAGAAAAACACCAGCACCAGGCGATTGGAAATCACATTTTTATTGAACTAAAAACAGAATCTTATTTCACCAATTCATCAAAAAGTACCAATTCCGAACTAATAAAACATATCACACAAATTAATATCCAACTAAATGGAAAAAAGGAATCTCATTTACTTCCAAAGAGATGGGTAAAAACAGTTCATAAGCATACTGAAAAGATAACTATAGTAAAGGGTTTTGACTTTTGAGAACTAACTGACAATGGGTTGTGATGGGATAAATGAATACCCTTAGCAAAAGCCAACCAATATTCAAATCAAATTTGTGAAAAGCAATTGCATCCTTGTATGGTTAAGAGAAGTGGGATGGGAATAACTGGAAAATAATGGAGATACAAACCATTGTCTAAGCCAACTCTGCCCACGTCAGTGACTTGTTGATAATATACTTTCTGCCAGGCTGACAAATCACATTTGAGTATGACCTGAGATTTCCCAGGAAGATATTTTTCCACCTCATCCTTTTTTCTTCTTAATATGAAGGGCCTTATCACCTAACAGTGTGAATGATATTCATCAGAATGATAATGACAAAAGAAAGAAGATAAGAAACAAGAGTGAAACCCACTTGATGCAGACGCCGAATGATCAATAACTGTTCTTCATCAGTTAGGGAGACATCAACTCGATCCGCAAAAGGAGCATTAAACCAGTCCTCGAAATTCTGAACTGAATTGAAAATGTTTGGAAGGAGAAAATTGAGCAGGGACCATAATTCCTGCAAACTGTTCTGAATTGGGGTACCAGTCAACAAAAGTCTTCGTTGAATGTGATAGCTGCAAAAAAGTAAAATCTAAGTTATAGAAATTAAATATTTTGTGCAGTCCAATTCTAATGTACTTATATTAAGGACACTAATCTTACAAAAAATGTTTTATACAGAACAGAAAAGTCAACAAGATACACTGCAGAGAATAAACAAGTTTAGAAGAAACATATGATAGATGGTAGCAGACCAAAATAATGCTTCCAAGTGAAATTCTAAAAAGAAAGCTGACTGACTACTTCTCTTTTGACTAAGCTGAATAACCATCCCATAGGCCACAGTCTCGAATTTTAGTTTTTGGTTGGGGTTTAGTTCAAATTGAGTCCTACCACTCCTCAACATTATCCTTTACAGACATGGAGATTAAAGAATAAAATGAAATTTATCCATAGATATAGATCCAAACAAACATGAAATAAAAGAGAGCTAAACAACAAAAAAGGTGTCATGGCATTGACAAGTAATGCACTGTATTGTTGACTGCTTTGACTATGCTATGCACATTTTTTAAAGCTATATTCCTCTTCAATTTCAGCATATATTTTTCTAAAGGAAATAAAAGGATAGCATAACCAAGAATTCAGGGAAGTCAACATATTAAACATCAGTGTAACATCAATACTATTGAGCACATCAACCATCACGATAACACCAATAGTGAACATGTAGAACCATACCCAGAGTCTAGGGTTCTTGCTAGAGCACACTCATGATTCTTCAACCGATGCCCTTCATCCACAATCAAGTAGTGCCAATGGATTTTCTTGAGAAATGCTTTATCTCTCATTATAAGATCATAGTGTGTTATCAGAACATTAAATTTCCCCTCCCCTGACAATTCTTCCTTCATTGCTTTTCGCTCTTCCAGCCGTCCATCATAAAGAATAGCTGTGATGCTGCATCAAAAGAAAATGCACAAGTGATTTGAAAGTGAATACAATGTGAAGAATCCAAAATTTGTTACCCTTTCCCCACAAGGATCAAAGGATAAGAAATAAGTTTTTGATGTATGCCCTGGACATACCTAGGAGCCCATGTTGAGAATTCATTGATCCAATTTGGAAGAACAGCCTTTGGAGCCACAATCAAGTGAGGACCAGTCACACCCTTGTATTCCATAAGGTATGCTACCAATGAAATGGTTTGTATTGTCTTCCCAAGCCCCATTTCATCAGCCAATATTCCATTTAAGTTGTTATTGAACAAAGAAAGCATCCACTGAAGCCCTTCTAGCTGGTACGGTCTTAATTCTCCACCTTGAAGAACAGATGGTTGCTCAGTCACCTGTGAATATCTATGCCAGTTAGAATTCCAGTGTACCACACTGTTCTAGAATTTTGAATGTATGACAGAACCACAATAAAATAAATCACAGATACCTACCTTTTCTTGAATTGAATGTATGGCAGAATTGTATTGCCGCTGACCTTCAAGTAAATCACTAGTGTTGCCATTATGATCAGAATCTATCAAATCCACATCTTCCTCAAGAGGTGATTCCTTAGAAATTCCATTCTTCAATCCATCTGACTCAGGTAAATCAGTTTCTGAATCTTCCAAGGGTTCAATACCATCTGATTGTTTTGAGTCCTTTTGACGTTGAACTGCTGCTCCCAAATTTACAAGTAGTTTATTCGTTTCTTCAAGAAGCAAAGTCAACCTTTCATTCTTACTCTCTTTGACCATTCTCATGTAAGCTTCTTGATCATCGGCCTTTAAGGCTTGGAATCTCAATTTCTCAGCTCGTGTTGCACGTTGTCTTTGCCTTCCATGCCATGCCTGCAATATTATTTATGAGAATTTATAGTCCCTATTCAACCATTGAACAATAAGGGAAAGAACTAGTGTACCTGGACACCATCATTCCTCTGTTTTCTTCGCTTCATCGAAGCTTGAATTTGTAATTGGAACTCACGGACAGTATTCAGTATTTCTGCAAAAAATCTTCGTTTTCTAGTCTCTATATGATTTTTTGCCTGCTCTTCTAATCTCGATAGTCTCTGCATTTGAAGTTGAATATGAGATAAAGCAATACAAATAAATTTTATTCCATGCACACATACACATTGCAGCAATGAAGCCTCATTATCAACCAATGTAAAATAAACCCCATAATATCCATGATATGAAAAATGAGTTTAAACCAAAGGAGGAGGGAGGGATCAACGAGTAAAATAGAATAACACCTCCGCATCCCGTTTCTTTCTTATTTGATCATCAGCGTCCATGACAAATGGATCTCCAACACCATATAGTGGACGACGCAACCGCATCATGCTCCAATCAAACAATTGCCTGTCAGGATATGCACATTTAACACTAAGCCAGTATTCAGAACTCACATCAGTCCGAACCTTCCTCTGCAACTCCGCTAGCTGCCAGAAAAACAGTCCTTGCCAACAAGGACACAATTCTTGTCATTTTGTGTTCCAGTCAATACAAGAAAATATAGATACAGCAATCTCTTCAAAAGAAAACAGTTCTGCAGTTAAATAATACCTATTTCTGAAATTAGTTTGCCCACCACAAGCTAAGGATAACCAAATTGCCAAATTTAGACAAGATTCACAGCATAGAACGCATGTAAGAAAGATTGAAGAATCAATTTTACCTTTAGTCCATAAAGCTCAAGCAAGCACCTCGTCTGTAGGTCCTCTCCCCTGCTTGAAGGCAATCCTGATCGAAAAACACTCTTATTTAGGATCAGTTCAAATAAATCCATACGGAGACACATCAAGTTCATTGTTCATAAATATCTAAATTCTCAAAGCAGTTCACACAACGCACAAGGAAATATTATTATTTCCTTCCTACTTGTAGTTTCAACTAAAATAAAACTGCAAATGAACCTTCGAGTTCGATTAAGCGGTGCTGAATCTGACTCTGATAACGGCTTTCCATTGTTTTGTTCAATTTGAAACCAGACGAGAAGCTAGGACGCCGGTCCAACAGCGCATCTTGAAGGTCCGTCAATAAATCTTCTTCAGATGCAGAATTGGATGCATCGGACTGCGAAACAGAAAAAGAATGCATAAAATGATGTGACGAAGAAGAAGGAGGAATGAAGAAGAGAAGAGGAGGGAGCGTACGGAGGAGTTGAGAGAGTGAGATCGGCGATAGATAGAAGAAACGGTGTGGAAGAGGTCAGGGGGAAGAGGGAGGTTGCGGGACACAAGGTTGAGGGCACCAATCAGTGACACCGCTTGCTCCATCGCTTCTACTTCTGCTGGCGGGAGCTTTCCCCTCTTTTATTTAATTACCCAATTAATATTTTAATTATAATCTTTCATTGCCAATGCCAATGCCAATGCCAAACACGAACACTTCCTTCGCCACTTCATTCAATCCCCCTTCGCCGCTTTCTCTCTCTATCTCTTCGCTATTCCTTACATATGTAATGGGGCCGAACTGCGGAAACCCTTTCCTTTATTTCTTTTACGCCAAACACGCCTCTACCTCTCCCTGCAAAGACGTTTCTGCCCCTACTTTTACTACAATTAATAAAAGTAAATCAGTCAAACCCACTGCGATTTATCATGAGAGAAGTAAGATATCTATAAAAAAAATATTAATATCAGTTTTGAATTATTTTTAAATATTTAAAATTAATAATTTTTTATCACACAAATCAATATTTATTAATGTAATAAATATTTTTTAATAAAAGCTTATTACGTTTATATATTTAAAGTTAATCCTAAAAATTAATCGTAAAGTGAATCCTAAAAATTGATATTACTTTTTTTCAATAAAATATTACTTTTAATTATCTAAAATTAATCGTAACAGTTGACGTTAATAAGACTGTAAATATAGAACTAACACGGTTTAACTCCACTTTTGTTTAACATTATCTAACTTTCCATTTTATTTCTCTTGGTTACTGAATTCATAAAGGCAATTTAGTTATACATCTATGTACCCTCACTCTTTCTGTCAGTTTTTCGTGCTTTCTAGCCTCAGCGAAATCTGAAGTTATCAATTGACGATGAAATTTATTTAAATACAGTGAAATTATTCAAATTTACCAATTATATGGATATTTTTAAGATTAAGTAAAATCTTAAAATAAATTATTATTATTATTACTATTACTATTACTATTATAATAATAATAATAATAATAATAATAATAATAATAATTATTATTATTATTATTATTATTATTATTATTATTAGGTATGGGAAAATAATGTGAATTAAAAAATAAATGTAATAGAAAATGCTTTTATTGTTAATAATAAATATTGTAGTTCACTTTTGAAATTAGAAATTAAGAAAATTAATTATGAATCCAACGTATTATCTCTATTATTATTAAATTGACATGGTGTGGCTAAGGACTAAGTAAAAATAACAGTATAATGTGTTAAAATTTAAAATTATATTGTCTAATAGTATTCTCAAACAAAAATATTTTTAAGAATTAGCTATTTTATTATCATGCCAAAAATTGTTTTCAACGTTATATAATTTTTTAAAATTTAATATTAATTTAAAATTTAAAATCATCATAATTTTTTTAATTTTATTTAATACAATAAACTATTTATTAATAATAATTAGAATATTGGTCTCTTAAAAAATTAATTTAATGATGCCCATGTGTGCATGAACAAATTCCTTTTTATTTTTTATTTTATCTGATTCCATGAGTTAAACTTGAGAAAAACAGAAAACGGATCGAGCTCGAGAGAACAAAATATGCAGTAACATTACTGTAAAACTATTCCTAATTCATACTAGGATTCAACTTTACAAGAGAATCTGTTAAAGGTATCAAAATCTAAGAAAATTACAGCAGTATTATCCTTTGTTCTGAGTGTTTTAGCCTCATTCAACAACAAACTAGCAATCTTTTCTGCTGCATTCTCTCTCTCTGAATAGTATCTCTCCTTTGTCTGTGCAATTGAGAAAAGCAGCAGTCAGAGCAAGTTGGTAGGAAACAGAAAAAACTAGACAAAATTAGAAACAAAAGCTTTTTCTATACAAAACCTGAAACACTAGTTGAATTGCCTTCTTCCCGCTGACAACATCCCATAACCCATCACTGAAAATTTTGCAGATGTCAATTTTGTATTTTTCACATGTTCAAAAGAAAAATGTGAATGCTCAAACCAGAAAACTAATGACCGAACTGTTTTAAGAAAACAACACCATGGTTTGGATTTTGAAAATCAAAGCCAGTCACTTCACCAACTATTTCCAGAAGGAATAAAGCTCCTCTAAAGTGTACAAGTAACGGTGTATCCATCCATTCAATTTAAAGTGTATTGTGATATCAACTCACCAAAATTCTAAGGTGAATACATCTTTACTTGCTCACTTTAGAACAGTTTTTTCCATCTACATTTTGCTACAGAAATCTATAAAAGCATGCATCAGAAGCAAAATCACCTAGCTAGAACAGCAAAAGCCTTGCTAGCTTGATTAATATGCACAACTTGACTTATATAAGGTTCTGAACTGAACCGGGAATCCTGCTGCTTCAGGAATTTGTCCCCAAGCATCCTTGCAAGATTCATACCTGCGTCAAGGTGAGAACCCACATCAGCAATTGTCGTCAGTATCGTAATTCAGGAAAATGAAGCTTTCTCTGTTTCAGTGAATTATTTTCCCATCATACCATATAGACGTGTTTCCCCATCTTTTAATGGTTCACCTGACCCTTCAATTCTGAGTCTCTCAGAATGATTCGTTATCTTATGATCCTCTGTTATCTTGATTTGTTTCCCATTAACACTGCCAAAAGTAATCTGTTATGAGTTTCATACAGGCACATAAAAGTACACTCACAAGAATTCCAGTCTATTTATGCCAACATAACCACATGCAGCAAATTTAAAACACATAGCTATAATTAAAGTCATTAAAATAATAATGAAGGTAGAGATCAAGTAAGCCAACAAAAGCCAATTTCAAAGGACACATTGGTGGTTCATAGTGGTCTAATGACCAAAGATAAAGCTAAGAGAGTTCAAGAAGCTCAGGAGAAATATGGAGACCCTATTGCTGAAACTCATACAAATCCACTTGAGTAGCAAAGGGCCAACTAGATTCTATTTGATTGATCCTTTGGAAGACCAGATCAATTATTTGACCTTGAGATAGTTCAGAAATATTTTCATTAATTTATTCTACATTTTGGTTTGGTATTAATTTCAGACTACTTTTATTGATTTTAGACTTGTAACTATTTGATTAGTTAATTAGGGATTTTATGCTAGTTTCCATATTTTCGGCTGTAATTGAGATACATAGAGTGTGGTTTATTTTATAACAGTCTCCAGCAATTTTCTCTTCTATCCCCTTTGATGCTCTGTTTGTTATGATAGAAATTGTCAAGAAAGAAAATACATTTTTCTATGTATCTTCCACTGTTTGGAGTACCCAAGAAATAGATGAAAAGGGAAAAAAATATATGGGACCCACACTAAATCTATTCTCTCTCCACAATAGCCAAGAAAATGAGAAAGGAGAGCAATAACTTTTCCTTTTTAATTCTCAGTCGTAAAAAATATACCTTTCATTTTTAGTTAAAAATAATTTTCTAGTTAGCGACATAATATCCTTACAAGAAAATATCAAATTCTTTCTCCACTTTCTTTTACATTTCTCTTATATCAAACAATTTAAAAATCCATATTATTTTCTCCCCACTATCTTTCTACTCATTCTTTCTTCTAACTTTTTATTTTCATTTTCTTTCTCAAACCAAACAAAGTCTGAAAGTTTCAGGACTAATAATGCTAAGATTTTCTTTCACAAAAATATTGTCCGTCAATAAGGTACAGAACATGTGTGCATCTCAACATGACAAGAAAAGTGAAACGCACACCATTATAACCATAGTATTTTTCTTCTGATAGCTTGTTTGTCATATGGCCTACCCTTGACCCATTCAAAATTAAAACAAATTATACCAAGAATTTCATTTGGTTAGATAAGCATACCTCATGAAGCAGGCAGAGTCTCCAACATTAGCACATTGTGCAAAGAAATTTTCGTCACCATCACTCCACACCAGAAGTACTGTTGCTGTACACCCCTGCAGAGAGATTGTTATTAAGATATATACACCATAAACACAAAATCTAAGATTGACAATAAGACAAAAAATGCATTGGATCAAAGGATAGGCCAAACAAGATCAGAGTAGAGCTTCATAATACCTCATAATAGTGATTCATGCATGCTTCTGTTTGACAAAATGCATCGCGAAGGATATCTGAAGCATCACAGAGAGATAAAACCCTCTCCCTTTTTAAGGAATCCGATAATATAGTAGCAATTATCTCAGGAAAAAGTCTGAAAACAAGAAATACAAAAAATTAGTACCGTTTTGCATATTATGAACAGAAATGACCTTGAATGAACAACTAAAATTTGCATAGAAAGTTGTGGAAATTCTGATTAATTATTAAGGAATACTTTTTGATAATTTTTTTCCTTTTATTATAGGTCTCAAGTTTGCTCAGCTCGTAGAAAAATTCTTAACATTCAGAGATCATATCATTATACATTTAAGTATTAACTAGCTTTCATTATGAGTATATATATAAACAAAATAAAAGTAGAGTAGTGGAACATATCAATCACTTAGTTTGTGGCATCTTGAGAACAGGATTGGAATTACTTCAGAAAAGTGACCACCAGTATGACTGTTAGTGGACTGCTGAACTGATTGTTAGTGAGGGAAGGTGTTACTTTATCATCCTCACTCTAGCCCTCAAATTCATGCTGGCATTGTAAAACCAAAAGAGAAGAGAGCAAAGATGAAGATTTAATAGGAACCTAAAGATGATAGAAGAACAAACAAACACCCAGGAATAGTGTTGTCAAAATCACGCTTCAACTCGACGCATTGCAGGCCCCTGAGCAAGTTGCGCACCACTGTGACTTGCAGATCTGCTTGTAGTGGACCGGATCATTGCACCGGAGCAGTGGATTGTTGGATTGGAACAGTGTGCAAAAACGTGATGGGTTGCACTCCACATACGGGTCAGGTTCGGGCAACCCATTTCACTTAAAAAAACCCATTTTCAACAATTTCTAAACCCTAACCTGCATGACCCAGTAAGTTTTGACTCTCTCTACCTCTATTCCCCCTCCATTCGACACTCTCCAAGCTTCTTCTCAGTTTTGTTGCTGCTTTTTGTCTGAAAAAGCCGCTGGTCAGGTTGCTGCATTACTGCACTTGGGTTTTCTTCCTTCTGATTTATTCTCTACTTCTTTGTTGCTGTGAAAGGCTGCTATGTGCTATTTACGGTTGCCATTTTTGCCAAAAACAGCAAGTTTTAAGTCCCTTTCCCTGTTTTTGTGCGCTGTTTTCTCCCCTTTCTTGGTGCTTTGTGTTCAGTTTTTAGCAACAATGGCAGGTGGTCACAAAGATGCTTTTAGGAGCAGTGATGGGGTTGGTAATTTGAATGGGGCTGGTGGCAGTGGGAAAATGCTGAGAAATAATCCTGGAAATAGGGATGATGTGGGTGGAAACATGGCATTTAAGTTAATGGGAATATAAGAAAAATTAAGTGCAAAATTGTGAGAAGGTTTTCAATGGAGGAATTTATAGGTTGAAGCACCATTTGACTGAAACCCAAAAGGATGTTAAAGCCTGCACATGTTAGTAATGAAGTTCGGAAGGAAATGTGGGCAATTGTATCCTCATTACAGGAAAGTCAGATAAAACAGTCAAAGGAATATAAAGAAAGAGTAAAGGCTGATGTTGAATATGAACAAGTAACATGAGAAAAAAGAAAAGGGATGAGGAAACTCCTACAAAAATTTTCAAAACAGAGGTGACTAGTCAAACTGCCATCAACAACATTTTTAAAAAGAGCTTGAGAGAGGAAGCATGTCAAGGAATTGCCTCATTTGTATTCCTTTTAATGTGGCAAAGAGTGAAAAATTTATAATGTTTGAGTTGGTTGCTAAACATGGTCAAGGAGTTAAACCACATGCCTACCATGAAATTAAAGTGAAATATTTGAAGCAGAAGGTTGATTCTATTATGCAAGCTTTGGAGGAACATAAAAGTTTTTTGGAAGAAAATGGTACCATTATGACGGATGGGTGGACCAATAAGAGAAGGAAGACTATACTAAACTTTTTGATAAATAGTTCTAAAAGAACTGTTTTCCTGAATTCTATTGATGCATTTCACATCTCTAAAACAACAGACAAAGTGTTCAAGATGATGAATGATATTGTTGAAAAGGTTGGTGAAGAAAATGTTATCCAAATTGTCACGGACAATGCAGAAAACTACAAGACAGCTAAAGAGAAGTTGATGGAAAAAAGGAAGATATATTGGACACCTTGCGCAGCTCATTACATTGATCTAGTACTAGAAGATTTTGAAAAGAAAATTCCAATTCACCTACATTTACTCAAGGAGTGGTCTCATTTCTTTACTACATCCTTTATCAAAGAAACAGATTTGATCAGACCTACTGCTACCCATTTTGCTATATTTTACTTAACTTTGGGTTGTTTCAATGACAACAAAAGAGTTTTGGTAAGAATTTTCACATCTAAAGAATGACAATCTAATCAATTTGCAAAGAGCCAGGATGTGAAGGTTGTTGAAAATATAATTATTAATAAGGACTTCTGAAAAAATATTGTGATTTTGTTTGGGTGATGCTTATACTTTGATTCGATTAGTGGATTCAAAAGAGAGGCCAGTCATGTGATTTATTTATGAAGAAATGGATCAAACTAACGAAAAGATACAAAGTGCTTTCAATGATTTTTGAGGTAAATTATTTGCTAGAAGTTCAAGTTTAATATTAAACTCACTTTTTGAAACTAATTATATTTTGTTTCACTCTTTAGTTAAAAGGCAATATGGGATATCATTGATGAGTGAAAATGCTGAAAATTCATATTTGGATATGGATTTCAATCTTTCAACCGAAGAAGAATTGCTTTCAATGAAAAAAGATGTTGACGATGATGTTGGCTTGGCATCTCTTGATGATTTGGAGATTCCTAATTTAGGGAAGCTTGACAATGGTGAAGGTGGAGATTTGATGGAAAATGATGAAGATGAAGACAACATGGAGGATGATTATAGCAATCAAAACTTGAGTGATTTGTTATATGTTTAGAGTTGAAGCATTGGACTATTTTCTTTTATGCTTTAGTTTTACCATGTGTTGCTTTTATTTTGATAAAAACTTATGTGTCTTCATGACTTTTGAGTTGTTAAAGACTTTATGAATCTTCTGTTGAAGTTTAATTAAATGTTTGGTGTGATTTAAGGGTTGTTTTATACATACATATCTTTTATTCATATAGATATGTATTCAAATATAATTTTGCATCTATTGACTCTTACAAGTCGTGTTACAATCCACCAATCCTACGATCTAGGACCTCCCTTCCACTCCAACCTTGACTCTCAATTTTGACAACCTTGCCCAGGAAAATAAAAAGGCCAAGAGAAAGCTGGAACAGATCCCAAAACACAGCAACAGAGCAGATTGGACAAGAGATGATCCAACCCAAAACACAACAAAAACACCCTTTCTAGGGAAGGAATGAAGAGGACAGAGGTTGGGTGACATCAGACCAGCCACATCTAGGTGAGTGAAGGAAACAGTGACAGGAAAGAGGAGTTCAAGTGTTTCATGCAAGCCAAAGAGCTAAAACTGGTCAGATTCCAGCAAACAGAACATGGTAGCATGTCAAATCTCTGGCAGCAACACAGCTCAAGAATCAACTGATCTGAACATGTCAAGCTGATTACAGAGCAAAAGGTAAAAAGAAATACAGAGTAGGGTAGATTTGACATCATCACAGAAGAAAGGGAAAGAGGAGAAAGTAACTGAATTTGATCCAGGGTTTCAGTGGCCAGAATTTTTGCACATCAAACAGGAAGAAAAGACTAAGGGAGATAATATGATTATGAAGGATGGTACTACTTCAATACAGTGTTAAAATTATATAGATTTAGGTAGCGAAGGAGGAAATGAGAAAATAAAGGCAATGAACAATATTCCTCATGCATATGATGTCATACAAAATACAAAACATTAACCTCTATTTATACCAGTACTAGACTCCTAATCCTTAATCAAATCAAATAAGGGAATAAATCAGGAAATACAATAAAATATGGAATCCACTCCTACAGGATTTTCCAAGATACTCTAGCATGCAATAATGATATTTTCAAAATATTCCAACAGTAGGCAAGTCAATACAGTCTATCAAATACTACAGTATGAATACTCACTAAACAACATGTATAATGCAAATATTTAATTACAATGGATATAGGAGAAAGTTGAAATAGACAGGACATATCACATATTCCAGAACAATCAGTAGAAGATGTTCATAGATAGTTCTAATAAACAAGTTACAAGATTATGGAGGTCCACCATCACAACTATAAAAAACTACAGCATGACAAGATTAAATTGTTTCTATTCATCAACTCCACTGTCACCAACAAAGAGAAGAATATAGAACTGGCAAGCATTAACACATAAGTTTCATAAGAAAGTCAAATGACAAACATGGCCGACCTAAGCAGAAAATACTAACTTGCTAGCAGATTTGGCAGCCCCATCTCCACCATGCCCATCACAAATGCCGAATAGTCCAAACTGAAGATCAGGAATAGAGGTGGGTTATTTCCCCCTGGAAAGTGAAAAATAAAACAATAGAAGAGACCTTCACTGAAGGAGTACTATGAATAAATCCAAAACCTGATCCAACCCAGGTAGAGGCCATTGATAATAGCAAACATCTTCCATAGGAAGCTTTTTCCCTCCTCGACGCAAAGCCATTGGTTCTGATGCCATACCAACTCCAAATGGAATGTGATGCTGATTTTGTGAAGTAATATGGACCTGCCACAGATTAAATCATATAGTGAATTATATAGAATGATTTTTAGGAATATATAGACACACACACACACAAGAGAGAGTGATCTTTTTTTTTTTTTTTTAAAAAGGCACAGCTACGTACTCTTGTCATGTTTACCACTTTACAGTAAATGATATAGAGCAAAACAGACAAATTTAGCACTTTTGATTACAACAGAGACTTTGGATAAACCATGTAGAGATCTTTTTTTACTAAGTGAACTCAGAATAACCACATTTACCCTTCATGTTTACCAAATAAAGTAAATGATATAGTGCAAAACAGACAAATTTAGCACTTACAATTTAATTACAACAGAGAATTTGGAAAAACCATGTAGAGAACTTGTTTTTTCTAAGTGAACACAGAATAACCACATTTACCCTTACTTGAAGAAGAAAGGCAATACTTCCTATCTCAGAGGAGGGAGGAGATTGATGATTGAAAGAATTAAAACAACATTCCAGATTCAATCTAGGTAAATCTAATTCTGAATACAGAACTTCAAGTCAAATCTATCTCAACAGAAACAGTCACATTCCAATTTATATCAATAAAATTATACTCCTATATCTTCATGGATGAAAAACAGAACAGGAGTTGGCATTCAAGTATGTTCCTAGACAATACACGTAAAAACAGAACAGGAGTTACCAACTAACGTTTATTCAACCTGTAAAAGCTGCAGACAGTCCGTTCACAGCTAATATCATGCATACAAGTAAAAGCTTAGTAATACTCACAACAACTTGTGATGTTGTTCCAAGAGTTATGATATCTCCATTAGCAAGATTCATTGGATCTCCCCAATGCCTACTTCCAGTGTCAGGATGGTTGATTGGCTTAGAATTCAATAGTGTTCCATTCAGACTGCCCATATCTACCAACTCCCATTTCATTCTCTGAAAATTCAATTTTAACAATAATTATCGCACGCCATACATCTTAAAAACCCAATTGCAAGTCCAAGAGCACAAAAAGAGTTTACATCCAAATTCCACTTTATCAACGCATGCTTTCCCGACACTTCTGAATCCTTTATCAACAAATCACTGGGAGAAACTCTTCCCAAAGTTAGCGGCAGACGAGAGGGATTGGTTGACTGAACAGAACAACGAAGTCCCCGAGAAGGTCCACTTATAACCTCCAAAGTGAGGCAAGTTCCTGCACTTCTAACAGAAAGATATGTTGACATGTTTGGCACAAGGACGGCAATGCAAATACACATAGCAACAGGAATTCAATAAAAAGAGAGTTAAAAAATTACTTTGATCAGATATATCTTTCTGCACAAAGTCTTGCACTCTATCATTCTGAAAATTGGGTGTGTCATGCTTTACAATTTGAGCTACATGAGCTGTTTGGAACTTAAGTGTTTGACCAACATCAACATCTTCGGAAGAAGGTTCAGAGATGACATCGACGACGAGTGTATCCCCACCACCTTGTGGCATGTTAGATGAAATAGGAAGTGTCTGAAGCCTTTGCTTATGAACAAGTCCTTGACCATGGGTTCGAGGAAAATGAGCTTCGTTGGGATAACAAGCACCCTCAAGATCATAATCACGAGGCAATTCATTGCTCTGATTACACGGTGACGCATCCGCATCATCTACGTTAGGAACGAGAGGCCTCTCTAGCTCGCCCTTGGATTCATAAGATCAATTGAGGTTGAGAGATAATGATTCAGATCAGAGATTGTGATTAGGTTAAGAACAATGGAATGTTAGAAATAGAGAATTGGGGAGTTATACCTTAATGAAGGAGCGGAAACGCGAAGAGCAGAAGAAGCGCCATGGTTTGAAGAGAAAAAAGAGGAAGATGATGATGAGAAGAAACATAAGGAGAAGAACCACAGTCACAACAGTTTGTAGCGTCGTACCCATCGTCTTCCTTCTCTCTCTTCTCTTCGCAAGAGACTAGAGATTGGGTTTGGGTTTGCGAGAACCTCGCTTTGAAATGGTCACACTTTTTTTTTCTTGTCCAAATTAACTTCTACAAAATACAATACATCTGCATCATAACTGCTTCAATTTTAAGGAGCAATGTTTCTTCACATATAATTAATTAAATTTTATAGTTTTTTAATAACGTGTTCGGATATACACAATAAAAAAATAATAAATGTTTATTTAAATTATATCATTTAATATTATAACATATTAAATATTATAATACTATGCGATATTTAATAAAATTTATTATATATTTTTTATTTGAAAGAAAATTAAAAAAATTCATAAATCTTAATATAGTTATAGTACTTTTTTAGTATTATCATTCAATTATAAATAATTAAAAATTATAATTATTAATTTTAAATTATATTTAAAGTGATTTACAATTAACTAATAATATAAAAATATTAGCATTAGGTTCAATTTGAATAATTAATAATAATATTTTTATTAAAATATATTTATTATAATTTATACCGTCATATATTAAAATTTTTAATAAAAAATAATTTTTATATACTTAAATTTAATTTAAAATATTGAAATTATATATATATATATATATATATTAAAAACTAAAGTTATATAATTATTAAGTCAACTGTTTAAATTTATGTTAAAAGGTTTATTACGTTGCTTTGCAATAACTAGCGTGTATTGTTGTTGGTGGGAGTGGGAAGAGATTCGGTTTTAAGACATTAAACTGTGTGATATTGATTTTTCACTTAGTAAATAAGATTATTTTTTCTTATTTCAACTTCATTATCATTTTTAAAAGTATATATATATATATATATAAAGATGAATCATTCTTACATTCCAGTAAAATAATACAATGTGCATAAATATTAAAATTAAAATATTTAATAAATCATTGGTCCAGCAAGTAGTTATCCAAGTAAACAAGGTTAATGGTCAATGAATAGGGGAAATTGTAATAGAAGCAATTGTGTGATAGGGATATCACAGTGATAAATTTTACATTCATAGAATGAACTTAACTTCATCAAATATTGGATTTGCCTCTAACTTTCGGAACAGTATTTTTTAACTCTGTTGTGTATGACAAAAATGAAAATGTCGAGTTCAATTTCTCTCGTATTTGAGTTTATATCTACAATGTCTGTGTGTAACTGTGCTATTAAATTGATTTTTACTATATTTAACAACACTAATATGATTTTATATACAGTCAAATAATTTTACGCATCCTCTTTTTTACTTTCTTGCAGAGGGTTTAAAATTATCTAAAAAAATTATCGTTTTGATATTAAGTAAAGTGAATAATAATAACTGAAAATATAAGCATAACTAATTTTCTGTGCGACAAGGCAAGTCTATGTCCTAATGTGTGGCGATAAAGTGTGTGGCTATATGTTGGAAAAAACTTTGCCAATTATATTTGTCCAAACCTTAAGAATACTCTAAATTAGAAAGTGGTGGGCAAGTTATAATAACGACAGGGACGGTGGTTATTAAAACAATAATGGTTATTGTTAGTGAACAAACGGCAGTTAATTTGATTTTTCTTTCTGCGCATAATAATAAGATGACGAAGGTGGTTGAGTTCAGCAACCTTTAATCCAGCACAAACAAAACGGATACTGACAAGTTCATTTTGGAGAAAAAAACTTAGTATGCGTAGATTTATTGAATATTTATTTTTTGCAATTATGAATCAGGGAATATCATGTCTTCTTAAATTTTTATCACTTTTTTTTTATTTTTTAAATTTAATCTGAGTTGCCCACTTAGATGTAGCAGGAGTTTACTACTAAAAATTTGTCACTTCCCACTCAAATTAACTGCGTTAATAAATTTTCATCACTTTGGCTTTAAAAGGGAATAACATGAAATATTAACATTGTTTTGGTCTGCGTAAAAAAACAGATAATAAAAGTTTATTGTTCATGAAATTATTATGATATAATGCATGTAATACACACTGAAACCTGAAATACATTTAACCCAGTCGACAAAATAAAACCGGCCAATATATAGACTGAATAACCATAATAGTCTTCTTCCTTGTGATGGACACCCTTTATCCTTTACGTGGGGAAGGCATAGTATATTAATTTAAGCAAACAAGGTTTATAATGACAAAAAATTCTAACAAATTTTATAATTTATTATTAATTATTCACTTTATAATTCAAAGTATTATATATCATTCAGTCAGTCCAAAAGAATAAATGAAAAAAAAAATCATTGTAATAAAAGTTTCTCTCTCCATTTTCACCTTACCTCGAAGGCAAGAAATTTTTGGACCTATCATGAATTTTGTTTTATCTTCTCTACTTTATTTCCTCAACCAAATCATGAGAAAAATAATTCTATATATTACCTTTTACTCACTTTTTGTTCACCTATTTTTACCCTAAGCGCAATAATAATAATAATAATAATAATAATAATAATAATAATAATAATAATAATACCGTGTAAGAATTGATTTAGTTTGTAACTTTACCTCATATGTTGGAAAATGCATTAGTTTAAATAAACAGTGAGGATGTTTATCGGAAATGAATAATAATGGCTAATGGGGATACTTTTTGTTTCCTTCTATATTGCATTAGAGGGGTATATAGAGTAAATTATAGGGATGGAAAATGGTCGGGTTTAGTGGGATTTGGTTAATAAAATTCAGAATTAAAGTAAATTAATTATTTTAAATTTTTAATGTATTTTGATCATAAGTTCTCGAGTAATTTAAAGTTCTAGTTTGAATATTTACACGAGTAAATTTGGTAAATTTAATCAATTTATAACTTTTAATCATGTTTATCTTTGTTCTTTTTCTATGACAAGCTCAAATAAATAATAAAGAGACACAAAAATACATTTTACTTAAGCAATGCAAAGGCACAAAAATATATTGAAAAATAAAAAATAGAAAATCAAAAGAGAGAATAGGAAAGAAAAATAATTAGGAAGGGAGAACTAAGTGCAGAAGAAAGGAAAAATAACTTGTAAGTTAAAAAATAAAAAAATAGAAACTTGAAATTTTCATATATTATGCAAAATTTCTTACTACAATGGTTCTTCTTCTTCCCTTGTTATTTTACATTGGTGGCCACAACTCTTCATCTTTCTCATAAAAAAAGTAAATAGGTGCTTTCTAACTACTCAAAAGAAGACAACTTTGAAGCTGATTTGAGTAGGAAAATGATAAATAAGCTCGTGGATAGATGAGAAATTGATAAAGTTAGCACATTTAGTGAGTTTGAAAAACAGATTTAGAGATAAGTGTGATCTCCATAGACCAGTTGAGCAAAAAGGATGTGAAAATAGAAGAAGAAAAAATAAAATAAAAAAGATAAATTATAATGAGTTTTTTAAGTGATTAATGATTTTGTTCAATTTAAACATATTTAATTAGTTACATAAATAATAATCCATTTTTGACCAAATTAACCCTATTTAGTATGAAAATAAAATTTGACTTAATCCATATCCTATTCAACCCATCCAATTAGTGTTATTTGGATTTTCAATTAACTTGATTTTAGATGGACCTTCAGATATTACTCAGACCTAGATTATAAGATAAGATTTACATGTAATAGCCTGATATTCTATTTATAATTTGAAATAGCTGTAATAATAATAATAATAATAGATAAGTAAAATTAATCATAAAATATCTTGATTATAAGAAATGAATTGGCTAGTTTAATATGCCCCTTTAAGATTAGGATTTTATTGGCAACATTGATAAGTCTGTAATTAGGCCCTCTTTTACAACCCATATATTCATATTTGACCTTTATTTTATTTGGATTTTACACTAATTTATATATTAATTGTGCAGTTTGGTATAAAGAGACCGCAAGTAGATTTTGGATGCATTCTGAGCCCAAATTAATGGAAGATTAGAGCTTCGCAGCAGTCAACACGCCCAGATCCATTCAATAAGCACGGGAGTGCTTCGAGCCCATGCACGGTCATGCTTAAGGCCTTGTACGGCCATGCTCATCTGCTGGAAGCCTAATTATGAAGAGTTTTTAGGGTTTTCAAATCCTATAAAAGGAAAGATCTCAAGCATTGTAAGGGGACCGTTTTTGACATCTTGGCTTTGACTCTAGAATACATCTGATCTCGTCTCTCTTGCACAGGATTCTTGGTACATGTTTGGTGACACTTGGAGCTTCAAGCGATTGTACTTGAAGACCAGGAACACATCTCACACTATAGTTTGCTATTTCTTTTGATTATGGCTTTGTTTATGACTGTTTTAGTTATTTTCTTTAGCATGAGTAACTAGGTCCATAACTAAGGCTATGAGAACTATTGTTCATGAATTTATGAAATTTTGATATTTGAATTTAAATTTGATTTCCGTTTTGTGATTAGATTTTATCCTATTATGTTTATTTCTTAATCCTAATTAATTATATCGTCAGGCGATCGTACCTCGGTTAATTAATAGATCTATAGGGTAAAACGAGACAAAGGATTAGGTGAACCAAACCAATATTTCTCTTCTAATCGTTATTAAATTAACAAGTTCGTAAGCTCCTAAAGCTTTCTTAAATTAATGTCTTGCATGATCATTGGGGATATTGATTTAGAGAAAAGAATATTAATATTGCATGACCATTGGGTATTAATAGTATTCGTATGAATGATTGATAATCACAAGAAAATCGAATTTAGAGTTAAACAAAAGAATAACATAAAGGATTAAATGAGAAAACTCATATGCCCTAGGTTCTTCTCCGATAAGTTCAACTAAGACGTGCATTGTATTCCTTACTCTTAGTTTTATAATTGATTTTATAAATTCTTGTTTTTAATTAATCTCGTATCTTTGAAGCTTAAACAATTGAATTAGAAAATTCTTAGTAATTGAAAATCAATTCTTGCGAGACAATATTTCGGAAACTTAATTTAAGAACCCTTTATTACTTCTCGATGGGTACATTTGCCCTCCGAACAAACATCAATCTTGATTTGTAATTGTTGATGACAACCCTTTGATTGCAGCTTGATGAGACAGTTTGTACAAACACAAGCAACCTTAAGTT